TAAAATAAAAACAGTAAATGATTTTTCTTCATACTGCACGGCGAACAACATTTTTGTAAAATTACCATACAGTATAAAAATGACATTTCTGGTACATAAACAAATAATTCTTGTAATAAAACCACAATATATGGCATTTATAAACTATTTATTTGGCAATATTTTCATTTAAATGTAATAAACTAAATAGTTTTTGTGTCCTGCTCCAAGGTAAATTATCAAATTTTACCACATTTACTAAATTTTATCACATATTACAACATTGTATTTTATGGTTAATTTAACCAAAATCGATACGTAAGCTTTTCGATAAAAAGTAAAACTGAGCTTTTTAGTGTTGCCATAGAGTCAGACACAAGGTAAATTCAACCATATGCTGGTAGTTTTGACCATACTTTTTTTCTTAGTGTGAGCTCAGAGAACATGGCATTGTCTCAAAATGAGGTGATCTAATTTCAAATTACAGCCCTGACCGGTCGTGTGAATGTTGCTCTCGGCTCGCTCTAACCAGAATGCTGGCATCGTTATTTTATGGAATTTTTAATTAAAATAACAGTTTGTCTTTTAAAATAACAATACTTATCTGCTTAAAAACAGTTAAATAGATAAATTACATTATTTTTCTGTGAAATAAAAGCTTTTATACTGGCACAGCAGCTGGCAGTTTTTTTCCGTAGATTTAATAATTTTTTTTTTTTTTGCTTTGTAGTTTGAAATATCTTAATTGTGATTTGAATTGAAAGTTATTTTATACCGACAATTTTTTGAAAGAAATCGACATTTCGAAATAAAACCGAATTTTTTTTTAATATCCTTCGTGGAACAGCTGGACCAATTTTTGAGTTCACGACTACTAATGTTCAACTCCGTAGCCTTGTAATTTTGAACCCAATCCAGCAGGCAAAGGAACTACTGGACCAAGTAATGGGAGAAATGTGCCTTCGGGGTGGACTTTTTGATGGAACTAACCCGCATTTATGTAGGAAACGTATTGCGTCATATGTATTACGTCACATTATCCGCATGGAGAGGAAATCCATGAAAACCGACCACGGTTAGCCCTAACAGCAAGAGGACTGTAACCCATGATCCGTCTACCACAGAGGATATTTTACATCAGCACAGTGGTCGGTGCAAATGGATGCGGAATTCATATCGACCAGCCATTGTTGGGATTCGATTCCGGTTCACCTCATTGGAAGGCGAACGCTCTATCCCCTGGGCCATCACGGCTCAAACAGACATTTTGAGTTAAATACAAATAATATTTTACAAACTTTTATTGCACTTTGCATAAAAAAATTAACGTCATTCGAAAATTTATCTCACGCCACGCACTGAGGAAGCAAGCGGTATGAAAGAGATATAAATTTGGCGAATTTCTATACTTTTGCATTAGGAAGCGGAAAGGTGATGTGAGCATGCTGAAGCGCGCATCACCTCAGCGTATTCTCATCTGCGTATTCGGTTCAGTTTGGGATCTTACCGCTTACTTCCTCAGTGTGTGGCTGGCCTAAGACCACTTATTGCCCTTTTTGGCGACGACTGAGAAAGATGCATGTTGCCAGTAACTTTAATTTAAGGTGAAGTTAGAAAACTAACACTTTTTCAGTTTATTTCTTCCTTAATATGGCTATGATATAAATCATATTTTCGGGCACATTTGAATCTTTTAAACTATTATTACTAGAACTTTCCTGTACAACCATACAGTCTTACTTTTCAAGCAATATTCAAAAAAACATCATTCCCAATTCCCTGAAGTGGATTAAAAAAAAGAATTGAAAAAGAACAAACCAAAATAAATCTCAGTGAATAAGATGAAAACTAAACATAAAATAATGTTTTGTGCTCCAAAAGTTTTATTTTTGAAAATCTTTTTCTAATGCTATCAGCTATACTGGCTGATTTTGAGAGAGCTTCTACATTTTAAGACGCTTAGCAATGTTTTTTCGTTGCTTCGGGCTAAGTTGAAAGCGAGCAATTTTATATTTTAGACAAAATGTTTTGAACACTCCTTTTCAATAGGCTATAGATTTTTTTTATTCAACAAGCAAATATTCTCGTTTTCTCATTCTTTTCTTGAAAATTCATCTTTCAGTTTTAAGTTTTATTTACATTTCAAAACACACATAAAACGATTGAAAATGACATTTTGTCGGAAAAATCTGTAAAAGAAAAAGGTAAAGAGATTACAAACTTTTGCATTATTTTACTTTTAAATATTTCATAAACCGGTTTCTGGCTATATTTTATACAAAAAAATATTGTCAATTTCAATATTGATTGCAAACAGAATTTTTTATTTTATATACTTACAAAGCTTAGTTTTGTTTTTCATTTAAACCTTTACCTGAATTTCACAAAGTAAAAATGCATAATTTTCTTTTAATGTATCATAAAGAACTTCTGTTTGGAAGCATTTATGTATAAACATAAACACATTTAAACTTAACTCCATTATAAGTAATATGTTAAATGTAGATAGGGCTTTCCTCTGATAGTTTAAATTTATTATGCTTTTCATAGAATAGAATCTTGGATTTAAAGATAAAATTTATAAATGTAATTCTGTATGATGTAATAGAGAAAATAAATAGCTAAGAAATAGATAGCTTGTTCTTTATTTTTATTGTGCTGTATTACTAATTCATTATAAAAACCATTTTTATTTCCTTTTTAAATATTCAGTTACAAATAATGTAATAATAAGTCGCTATAATGTTTAAACCGTACTTTTACTGACTGTTTATAAATTTTATTTCTTAACGTCAACACAATACGTATCAGCATTTTAGAGAAGAGAAAATTGAATATATATATATATATATATATATATGTAATACAAAAAGTAAGTACTTTTGTATTAATAAAAGAATTAAATCTCTTTCGTTTTCATAAAATGTCTTTGTTAAAGAATAAGCGTAGAGAGATTCTATTTTAGGAATTCAAGGCTGAAAACATACCATTGAAATATAAATAGATTTATATTTCAAGGGAAGAGTTATTTATAGAATCGTGCCCTTTTTCAATTCCATATAAGGAAGCAGAAATGATTTTCCTTAATGCGTAAGGATACAAGGAATGTACGAATGTGCCTTTTTACTTCAAATCTNATCTCGACAGAAAGGAGTGCTTTCTAATATTGTATCAATATAGCCAAAGCAAAATATATCAATACAATAGTGTGAGGAGCAATTAAAAGAAAAATTTACAAAAAATTACAACAAATAAAATAGAACACATTAAGTAAAAATATCACGCAAAATCAGAAAATAAAATGAAAAACAGAAAAAAAAATAAAACAAAATCTATAAAGCGAGTAGCGAATTCAAATGTACTTACATGAACGGGATATATATATATATATATATATATAATAAGTTGGCGAGGTAACAAAAAGTTCCTTTTCCATTATTATATTAATGTTTTTGTTCCATAATGCTTAGAAATATCATAAAGGATAAATACCTTTTAATTATTGTTATTTTTAAACGAAAATTATAGACAACAATTTTGTTCTTTGGAATATCATTTATGTAAAAGCGCCATTCACTTAAATATGCTTTGGTGTGCAGTATCATTTCAGTGCGCAAAACGAAATAGGGTCTCTTTAAATCATTAGTTAAACAATTCAGCTAATCCAAAACTCTTTCTTCTCAAAACTTTTCAACTTTCCCACTTCTTAAAACAAAACTTCGAGCAACTCTTGGCTCAACTCTTTACTTAATCGCATCGTTATCAATTTAACACCGTAGCCTGCTGTTGCTCCATTAAGGATAACTCTAGTGAACGTAATGGGGTAACTTAGTTTTCCGATAAGTCATTAAGCGTGAAAAGGGGGTGTGGAGATGGGAAAAACAGCCCTAAAATGTAATTCCTGAGCGGGAAAATCAATGACTTTTCGGGAACAGGAAAGCATCTGTCATGGCCCATCTAATAAATGTCCTTTGAAATTAGATTATGGTCATATTGCTATATACTTTACTGTTCAAGTTAACTTGATTCTACTTGAGTTAAATCTAAGGGTTTCTTCACCATTTACCTCTTTTGGTTTTTTAAAATTTATAAAATGCATGATTTTTGTATATTTTGAAGTGAATTTTAGATAAAAATTAGTCAAATCTTTATAATAGACTTAGTCAAAATTTAATTCTGCACTATTTTTATACTTTTTTTGAATCCACGATAGTATAAAAGACTTAAAGCTGTTTGAGCCCTGGACACTGAAACTTATAATTGTATATTTCGGAAAGTTCCATAAATATTTGTCGCAAGTGCAATTTTCAAGTAGTACTGAAATATGTTTTAATCAAATCTCAACAATGTAAATAAATTGAGTGAAACATAACAAAAATTAAATTAAATGTATATAAATTCAATGAAATGTACGTAATTTTAATGAAAAGTACGTAAAGTAAAGGTTTTATAAGAAGAATATGTTGTGTGCTTTTAGAACATTGAAAAAAAGCGTATCATTATTGAAACAAAGTTGGAATGTTATATATTAATTCCAAAGAACGAGCAAAAGAACTCAGATTGAGGGGTGATCCGAAACGAACTCCAAGTGCAGATCTGGGGGTCGGACAGTGCAGCGAAAAGAGGTGGGACACTCCACTTTAAAATAATAAACTGAAGACAGAAAAAAATATGTTCTTCTCAGTAGAATTAGATTACGGCTGAGTCGAGAGTACTGGTAGTTCACTTTTAAATGTTTTCAGTTTTGCAAATGAGACTAAAAAATTAACTAGTCAAGTATTAATTCTGAATCTACTCTATTTCCTTTTTTTTACCCACCATTTCGTTTTCAAAATGTCAAAATTTGATAAGTGGTTTTAAAATAAAAAGATTAAATTCGAAAAAGTAGTTCGATGTGTCCCCACAGTAAGCTCTTTTTATGTTTTTTAAACCATATTAGTGTTTTGGATTTGATTTTATTGTGAATAAAAAAAGGAAAAAATATTTTGTGAAACTTTCCATTTGCTAATTTTTTTTTTCAGTTTTCTCCAATCAAGACCTTCTAGAGAGCAGTCCAGTTTTTACCGAGCCAATTCAAAACATCACTGTTACAGCAGGGAGAAATGTGAGCTTATCATGTGTCGTTGACAATCTTCAGTATTATAGGGTGAGAAATAAGATTATTTTCTTTAATACTTGAATAACTTAGTGGAAAAATGTGTTAATTGACTCTCGTGAATTGATTTTCACACTTAAAAACGCAATATGGTATATATAAAGCATCAGTTTAATAGTCTTTCATTCATGCTGATTTTTTTTTTTAAAAAGAAAATAATTTTAGCAGCCTCATAGAGAATCTGAAATATATCGTTTAAAATAAGTAATATGTTTTTCAAAATGTGGATGCATCTGTTAAAATGTAAATTGTACCGTTACCCTTCAAACTTTGGCAAGGCTGTGATTTATTAATTGAATTTTGGTAACGGTTACCCAGGTTCAAAAATAGACACTTGACTAATGAAGTACATGAAACTTTTAACAATAAAAAGTAAATTTTATTATAACTATAAATTATCAACAAACACAATCCCGATCATTTCCAGATGCCTTCATGTGCACTCAAAATTTCAATTTATACACTTTTAAATTTCCAAATGGTTATTCTCAAGATAAAACTTTTCGATAAAAAGCACCTTTAAATTTCATATGCATAACATTAAATTAATTCACACTAAAAGAGACATTTACGAAATAAAAATACTAGCTCATTCTAAATTTACAAAAACATTTAAACTTTAAGTCCTTGTATTCCTACAGCAGATAATTAAAATTAAATATCCAAGGCTCATCTTAAAATAGGTATCTTAACACCGGATAGAAATAATTTAAAATACGGAATAAAATGCTCTTCTAAAAAGTTACTAAAAAGGTAAGAAATTAGAGTTTATAAGTACAAAAGGAACTTACAGATCACCTTCTGGAACGCCCACCGGGTTTGCAGCTAGACTTGTGAACTTGGAGAACTTCGAGTTTCCGACCGCCATTCAATTCTTTAGGCTCTCCGTTAGTAAGACAGAGTGCACCAGGGAAACATTTGATTTTCAGCCGAGGAACGCTCAATTCTTGCCAACCGTCTTGAATTTAGCGACATTCAGTCTATCACTTCCCGTCAACTACTCTGAGGCTTCAGATCAACTTTATTCCAGACAACAGCTCACCCGATCAATGTTGCGTACCTAGTCGCTGCATCCAGAAACTCTTTCCAAACATCAACTTTCCAGCATTTCAGCCTAGATCAGGGGTGGCGAACCTTTATACACCAACGTGCCATTTTTTTCTAAAAAATTGTTTAATGATGTCATACACGTGCCGTCAAATGATTTTGACTTCGTGATTATTGGGAAAATAATAATACTATCAACTCAAAACTCTTTATTTACAATGAAAAAAAAGAACATTTTGCAATGTCTCAGTTATACGCGTTATTCAACTTAAAGTAACATCAGTGTGACTTCTGTTGTTGCAGATTAGATGACAAATAACTTAGATTAGGTTGCAAGATGTTAGTTTAAGCAGGGCTGTTAATTTTTTTACTAGTTATTTATTGTTAGCTTGCTTTTTATGGTTATTAATTAATTTTTAGCATTAATTGTTAATTTTTTTATTAATAATTGTTTATTATTTTGTGAATTTCAATTTTATTGTTACATGTGCTTCATAGTGTAATAAGAATTCATAGTGTAATAACAAATGTGATCGGTGGCGTGCCCAAAATATTGCGTCAGGTGCCATAAATCGCACGCGTGCCGTTAGTTCGCCTTCCCTGGCCTAGATCAACTCACTCCGAGACTCCAGCCATATCTAAACTCTTTCTCGATGATACCGGCTCATAACACACTTCTAACAACCATGATAGATTCCGTCAGCGGTAATGTCTCAACCCAACATCCCATCGGGCGCGATCCGCACTCCCGTCGTACTGCCTTTTCAACCACTCTTCACGCCTCTTATACTCTTTTCAGCAAGGCGAAATAATCCATACTGACCTGTTTACTCACTCAAAAGTCATCCCGCATCCCGTGGACGTCAGAACAAAAAAAAAAGATCCATGAGGAAAAACAGTCACACACCCACTAATCCGCTATAAAAGTGATTATACAATCCTCCTCAAATGTTTATGCAATTAACTATCCACAATCTACCCCAAAAATCCCATTTTAAAAGGATAAATAAAAATTTCTCATGAAATATCATAATTTTGATTGCATTTAAATTTTATCATAGTGGTGCCATCTATTGAAAAATAACCCTTCTTTAAAAAGTATTGATAGAAAAAACTCCAATAAATTCCTATTTATTACAAAATTAAGTCTAAAATTACAGAAATATTATTACACGTTCGGAACAGGGGTAGAATATAAACAGTTCGAATGTCGTCTATGTGCTAAACATTATAATGTGGTGCATAATAGAGTCACTCCGTCTTACTGAATTTATGAGCTGATGCAGGACAGTCTGCGGGGCATTCATTGATACCACGCCGAGCCCAACGCGTTAAGTAAAAAGTACATCAAATATATGTGGTTATTTTATAATTAATTGTATTACACTGAACACAAATTGGACTCTCCGTTTACATTGGTAGAGAATTGAATATGTCTCCAGTTAAAGTTGAAAACTATTTCCATAATTTGTTCATGTCTACCAGACATTTTTTACTAGTCGACATTTAAACAAGTTAGAGGAAACAGTAAACCATGCAACAAAAAGAATAGTAAAATGTCGAAAGCATTTTTATCAACCTTTTACATGGAGCAACAATACAAAATGGAATGCAATTAAAAAATAAAATCTCTTGACTAACTTAAAATTTAAAAAAAACATTTTTTTTATACAAGGAGCCTAATTTTTGGCTCACTTTTTTTTCGCTTTTACGAGACAAACAATTTTATTCAAAACATTTAATTAAGATAATTGGGGTCATCGCAAGCATATTCACAATGAAGCGATTCGTGCTATACCTTTATATTTCTCAAAATAAAACGGGTTAGTTTAAAACCTCGTTGTTTAAGAGAAAAAAAAATTTTTGAAATTTGGGTGGTTTATATTATTGTCAAAAACAAGCAAAACGATTTTTATTACATCTCTTCTGAAAGAATTGAACTATTGAAACCATTTTTTACAGGATGCGGTTACCCCCCCCCCCCCTAATATTGAAGGTCAAAATCCAAATCTGACAACAACAAAAAAATAATAAGATAAAAAAATATAAGATTTGAAGATCTGATTCCGTATCTTATCTGATTTTGTATTTTAAAATATTATCTGTACTAATTAATTAACCCATTTAAAGTTAAATCCTTGAACCATCTGGATTGAGTTCTAGTGCATGAAAATCCGATCTTTCTATCAAAAGTTATAAAGGTGTTCTCGTTATTTATTTTTATTTTTTTTGTACACTGCTCAAGTAAAAGGAAGTAGTACTATGCAAAATGCACGAAATTCAACAAAAAATTAAATTAAAAGAAAAGTAAGTAATTTTTAACAAAGTATAAGGAAACGTTCTAATTTTTTAAAAATATAAATGGGAGAAATAAGCAAATTGTACTTGTTTTTTTCCCATTACTTCGCAAGAAAAAATAATGATATTTATTCTCTGGATACTTCTACTTTTTCTCTCAGTAGGCTCTTTAATTGCAATAAAACTAAAATATCAGAAAAAAAGAACATGGAAATGAACTTTCATATTTTTTTAAAGTACTTCATTAAAATATTGACTTTAAGTACTGGAAGGAAATATTTGTTAATACTTATTAATTTGGCAGGTTGCTTGGATTCATACTAACAAATACACACTCTTAACACTGCAAAATCGTGTGATAACAAGAAGCTCTCGGTTTAAAGTAAGCAACAACAGCCAAAGAACATGGTTTCTGCACATATACAATGTGCAAGAGAGAGACAGGGGTGAATATATGTGCCAAATCAACACTGTTCCCATGATGACTCAAGTTGGATACTTAGAAGTAGTTGGTAAGTTTTTATTGTTTTTATTTTCAAAATTCTAATAATCTGTGTTCATTGATTTTTTTTCATAATGCATGTTCCCAAATCAAGTGGCTGATAAAGAGTTGAAGTATTAAAAGTAAAGTAAGGCAAAACAATTTGAAAAATCAGTCGAAATTTTGTTCTTTAATCTTAATATATGATCTCCTTTTCTCTTGTTCCGTATTGTGTTTATGACACTTCTTGTCAGTTTCACAAAGTAACATAATATCATTCACAGTTGGAACATTACAACTGAACACGACAAGTTTTGACCATTCTTTTTTTCTCACTGTAAAGTCTAATTACAATATATTAGCCAACGTTTAAGTTAGCATTGAGCAACAAAGCTAGTAAATCAATCTGTTTTGTACGTGAATTACCATTTTTACTACGCATTTTTCTATGAATTTTATTATCCAAACATTCAGCAAGAACACCACAAACTAATATGATATGTGGTTAGCCAACAAAAGTTACTAAGAGCTGAGAGCAGATAAAAGTTTTTGCTCAAACATAGCTAAAAAAAACTATTTACAGTAATAATTCTAAAAAGGTTAACAATGTTGAACGTTAATTCCTATTTCCTTTTCTTCGACTTTGCTTATTTTGTTTCAAACTTTTCTGATCTTAACTTTTTCGCTCAGATGTTTATTCGGAATCTGTCTTCTCTGCATAATATATTTACATTGAGTTCTGAAATACCATTTCAAATAAACTAAATAAATAAGTGAAGTCCATAAGCAATGGAAGGTGCTCATAACTTGATATTTAAGAAAAAAAAACATAACTCTAGCAAAATCTGACAATTTTTATTTATAACAATTAGTTAACTATAGTCAAAAAGGAATAAAATTAATTACAATCAATTTAATTTTTAAGCACTTGAATAATATTTTGGTATTGATTTCTAATCTCAATATTAATTTCGAAACTCTGATTCATACATTTTCATGTATATGTAAAATATATGCAATGTATATTATATGTAATGTATATTTTATGAATATTATATTACAAGAGTAACACTTTATATCCTATTTAGAACTCATAGACAAATTACTTAGTTCAATTTTATTAAACATTTCAAAGATAATATATAGTTACAAATATGTCGAGGCTATAGGCATTTTTTTCATTTCAAATCACTTAGTATTACGGAAATAAAGTCATACATTTCAAAAAAAAATTTAAAGCGTAGTTTAGAAAACTATAAAATATTTTATTTTTATGATTAAAACTAAATTGATTTTTTGTCTAGAAAAACAACAATATTAGCAATGTGTTTTCAAAGATTGAAATACTATAGGCATTTTTTTCATTTTAAATAACCATATTTTTCAGAAATTAAATCCAAACATTTCAAGAAAAATACTTTTTAAAACCTAATTCAGAAAATTTAAAATTGCAGTTGTATGAAAAGCATACCATAATTTAATGTTTTCACTATTATCAGTGTTTAAACTTTGCCCATGTGATTTCTTTGTTCAAATTCAAAGAAATACAGAATATTAATCGCATTATAATGTTTGACTTAGATTTTTCCTACAGAATATACTTCAAAATAAAAAAAAGTTGAAGTGAAAGTTTGTTTAAAATCCCTTTTATTTTTTCTCGTTCACGTCTAGAGGGTCTAGACAATAGACGCTTTAGTTTTGAACGTTCGAAACCAGATGTACTTAATTTAGGAAGCTTATGAGACTTTTAGTAACTGCTTCAAATACCAAAAATGCTAATTTTATTTTAAACAAATCATTTAAATGCGTTGATATATTTAATTTAAATACATTGATATATTTAATTTATTTGTTCAAAGAAATTTTAATTTCAGATTCTTGTTTGTAGTTCCTCCTTACCTTGATGAGATGCTTACAAGTACAGACATCGAAGTAAAAGAAGGAAATGACGTCAGCTTGCGATGCGTTGCCAAGGGATCACCAGAACCAGAAAATACTTGGAGACGAGAGGATGGCCAAGAAATAAATCTCGGAAAAAGCAAAGGTAGACCATTAATAGTCTGAATCTTTTAAATGAAGTACATTAGTAGATTTGAATTAATTGTTATATTAAAAATAATCAGTTGTTCGCATGAATGGGACAGTGTAGAATGGGTAAAAAATGTAACGCAAGCTGTAATAGCTATAAAAAAATTAGCGATTTTCAACTCTTTTTGTAATGAATGTGCTTAATAAAATGGTGGAAAAATTGGGGAATGAAAATTTATGTAATATATAATTATCATGTGTATTACATTTTATCAGTCTTCTACGCTACCATTGGTCTTAGAAGTTTACAACATCACCATTAATTAATTTTTTATATCTTATATACAATCAATTCATGTGGAGAATATATTTTGCTAATTTATTATTCCATCATTAACTTTTGTATCTTGCTTATTTTAATTTTGAGTCTATTTCTATGTAAGATGCCAAAATAAAAATATCACTGGATAAGAATTTTTTTTCAATGAAACTAATTGCGATTAGTGTAACTGTTAAGAATAATCGTGGAAATATTCCATTGTTTGATGCGGTGGCTATATAATAGTCATTTAGAATTCTGTAGAAATTATAACAATGTTGTAGGAATGTTGTTTGTCTGTTTTAAAAGCAGGTTATTGAAAATTCTTTATAGCATTCTCATGGAATACGGCAGATATAACAGAACATTAACACTCTGAGGTTTAATTTTAACAATTGTCCACAATGCTGACAACTGTCTACACCGTAAAAAATTCCAAATCAAATTACAGAAAAATCACCTGCTCTCAGGGTGTTGCTACTTTTTAACGTAAAACCCATTTTACCCTGAGCATGTGACAGAACAAAAAATCTGATATGCCTTAATTTTTACAATAATAATTACGGCAAGATTATTGAATTCCTCTAATTAAAAAAAATATTGCTGTAAAACGTACTGTATAATATATTTTATGTTAAAAATTGATTTCATAGATGATGCACCCAAAATGAGTGCCGATATTTTATACTGTAATTTGATCCGAAATTTTATTATTATTAAACAAATGCCAGCCATTGACTATTAGGTCATTAGACTCCAGGTCTCCAGTACTTCTTATTGATACAGTCAAAGTCTTTTAATGCAGAGCACATGTCCAAATGCGCAGCAGTCATGGCTTGTCAGGAGTTAAATAAAAGACAATCTGATTAAGTAGTCAGCTTGAGGCGAAATACATGAGAACGTGTCCAACCACGTCCAGTCAAAAGTCTAAACAAGGCTACCACAGTAGCACGGGGTGAATCCGGAACACTGTGAGTTCCACAGAGCACATTCCAGGACTTATCTCTGGCAGCGTGAGAGGCCGAACAATGGAACGATTGTTTGAAGATTCTGTTTATTTCAAGTTTAGCGGAATGGAAGGACTGGTCTCTACAGGATCTCTGAAGAATATACGTTCCTTTTTTAGCTAAAAAGTCCGCCATTTCATTTCCTCGAAGACCACAATGGGATGGGGCCCATTGAAATGCAACACTTCCCTCAATCCTCTTCAGGAGTTCTCTGCAGCTCAAAACAAGGGAACAACTATTTTCTGCGTTGCCTGACAAGGCCTGGAGAACAGAGGTTGAATCTGAAGAAATCGCAGTTTTCTCAGGATCGGTAAGTTGTTGGAGAACAACATGGATGGCTTTGAGCTCTCCATGAAAGAGAGTTGAAAATGGCGCAGCATGTAGATAAAAAGAAAAGGTTTCACTAAAAATACCAGTGCCAGCACCCTGTGAGAAATCTAAGAGTGATCTGTCAGTGCAGATGTGAAGCCATTCATAAGGGGGAAAACGGATATTGATGGTTTCCAAGGCAACAGCACGGAGTGCATTGGGACTTGTGTCACGTTTCCGTACATTCAAAGCTACGTCCAATCTGACATCGAGAATCATATATTCTAATGAACTTGCTAAAAGCAGCAGTTCGTATGGCGCATTGTTGACTACATTATTTTGGGTATTCTCGTGAACACACTGGATGAAGCCTTTTTGAGTCTTCAATTTACGAGTCTTGCCACAGTCGTATTCTCGCCAAAATGAATTATAAGGAAGTCTAATTAGTCTATTATGCAGGATAGCTGCATTCCTTTTAATTAAATTAGTCAACGGTTGTTGATTACAAAGTATGTAATTGCATAACAAGTGCGGAGGTACCTCCTGTAATCATGCGCAATATCTGGTTTTGGAAGGTATCAAGGAGTTTTAAGACTCCATCCGAAGCTGAGATCAACACTTCATTGCAATCATTCAAAATCGGTTGAATATAGATCTTGTAAGTTGAGAAATAAGTTGAGTTGTCCAAAATTTTATGAAACTGAAAAAGAAAACGAATCTATCATCATGAGTCAAACTTATTGAGGCTATTTCATTGACAAAAACTCGATCCCTTGACATCGTCAGGCTTAGTTAATGTATTCTTTTTCCTAATTTTCGTATTTAAAAAAAAATATTAGTAAATAAAAATTGTAATGAATTAATTTGTTGAGTTCATATTTACTATAAAAATACAAGGACACAAGGAATGCTACTATATAAATAAGAGTACTATTTTGAAGCATATTAAACCAATGTCGTTCAAATCTGCTACAACATTAACAGGAAAAGTTACTATGGCTCATCTTGAAGAAAATATGGTTCTACTTAACACCTTATTCAGCACGCAGCAAATTTAAATCTTATTAAGATTCAAGATAACAATGTTATGGTTTAAATTTTAACCAATTTTTTTAAGAATGTTCATTCAGCTAAAGCAAATTCTATCTAAATCTAGAGTGCCTATACAAAATTATGCATAAGTTTTCAACTACACACTACCCCATTGAAAACGTATGGAAATCCGGATTTTTTTTCTGATGAAAAGTTGGCTTCTAAAAATTTGGAAAAAATCTGAAACTAATACCCATAGGATATTCAAAATTATTTTCATATTTTTTTCGGCTATAGCTTAGAAAATAATAATATACATGTTTTTTTTTTTTTTTTTTTTTTTTTTTTTTTTTTTTTACACTCATAGGAGAAAAAAATTTAAATAATTTTGCAAATAATTTCGTCATGAAATCACGTTATTCGGAACAAAACGTGAACTCTCAAATAGGTGACGAAAATGTTTCCTCAACTCGAAACTCATTGCAGTGGATTGTGGGAGATGATTTACTAGAATAATGAAACTAGTATGATGACTAAACGATCGAAAATAATGTTACGAGACAAGTCGATTGATCTGAATGGTGATCAAAGAAATGGCCTTGTAGATCCGGGGTTCGAATCCTGCTACGGGCATGTGTGCTTGTACTAGTGTTGTTTGGACGACATTGATCCACCTTTGTAACCCACGTTAAAGTGATTATTCAAAATTTTATATACACTAGGTCATATGAGATTTTTTTTAAAAATAGAATGTCGAAATACTTTTTTAATCTGGAAGAAATTTTTTTCTTCCAAGGAATGACGATAGCTATTTCCTTGCATGTTTGTTCGGAGTCTATATCAGAAAGCAGCTTCGTTGAAAACGAAGGAAGATTCGTGAAATTTGACAGTGCATTTTTTTCAGTGCAGTTTATGTATTTTTGTGTTTTTTTTTTTTTTTTTTAAATTTCAGTTAGTTCAGTCAAAGGAAATTACTTAAACATCAGTAAAGTGAGCCGTCTTCATATGGGAGCTTACCTTTGCATCTTCTCCAATGGTGTACCACCTTCACTGAGTAAACGAATTATGCTAGGAGTGAGCTGTAAGCAATTTATTTTAATTTACTATACTGCGTTGAATGTTTAAAATAATTTATGGGCTTAGTCAAAGAGCATGTCCCGTATAATTTTTGAAGAACACAGTCTTCAATATTTAGTAGGGTAAACAAAGGGAATTTAATTCATCCTTCTGCTGTGTAAGAAAATCCAGAACAAATTACGGTAAAAAGTACCGGCACTCAGGGTGCCGGTACTTTTTATCATAGAATCCATTTTTGCCAGAACATGTTACGAAAAAAAAAATCCGATATACCATAATTTTTACAGTAATAATTACCGTAAAACCACTTAATCGCTCTAATAAGATAAATATTTGTGTAAAAATTACGGTATAACATTTTACGGTAAATATGAATTTTGCGGTAAAATGGAATATACGGAAGTATCGTCATATTACAATGTAATTTAATCCGGAATTTTTAACCGTGTACGAACTAAAATGACTAACAATTTGTGAAATCGGTTATGGGGAATCTTGATAAGTTAGAAATTTTTAAGGTTTGTTGGTTTCTGCTTAGGTAACCAGTTAATTACTTTTCTTTAAATTTCATTATTAATTATTAAATTCATTTGCAGATGGCTATGCTGACAAAAAAAAGTGATGACCATTTGCAGCAACTAAGTGGTACAGTTTGAAAACGAAACTAACTGACAACTACGTTGAAAAATATTGTTTCATTGTTTTCCCACATTATATTAACGAACTTTATAACTAATATTGGAATTATGGTAACATAAGCAGAAAGCTGTATACTGTACATTTCTATTTTCTTTCATTATTTTTTCAAATCGTCGGTCATTTTGGGGACACAATGTATGCTCTTAATGCCCACGTACTATAATTTCGGTAAAAAAATTTAAATAACACGATAATTAAGGTGACAATAAATATAGATCTTCAATAATATTTCATTATAAGCATCTTAATGATCTCTATAAAGCTTACCCTAATGTTGAAAAAAATATTTGAGTCTGGAGCATCCACTTCTGAATTGTAAGAGATATTTAACGTATATTTTAAATATATCTTTATTTAATCGTATTCGAATCCAAACTAGACATAGAAACATAATAATTCCAAAAACAATATTTACGCACGTTGCAACAAGTCATACTTATGCTCGCCCTTGAAACATTTCGCCACTTACAATTGATATATTTATGAAATTACTTGCGCTTGTCAAAAATAATTCCTGACATAATTCTCTTTTAAGGAAACTCAACAATTTAGTTTGCTTATTTTCGCATAAGTCAGAGTTCAAATATTTAATTATAAGAAGAGTTTATGTATCAACGTAATATCATAATAATGGGAGAAATGTTAACGCATTTCTTAAAAATTGCTGCCTGATTTAAATAATTCAGAGCAATCTTTTTCCAATTTAGATTAAAATAATTATTTCAAAATTTTTAATTTAAGGAAAATCTGTGGTAAATTTTAATATTTTCTTTAATTTGATTAATAATATAAGTCACTTCCAAGCAACGGAATCTTTGTAATCTCTACTCTTATATGAAGGGCATCACTTTGAACAGTGTTGTGCAAACAGTTTCTTGGTAATTCTATACAATCGAACTTAAATTTTATCAGTTTCGCTAACACATAGCATATTGTTTCACTAAGCTGTTCAATTATCATTAGCTATTATGTTATATTCGATCTTGGTGTTAAAAACATAATCAGCATAAAAACTAAATAATACACATTTTTCAATTATAGTTACACCAATGATTTGGATTCCTAATCAGCTTGTTGGAGCTCCACTTTCTTCAAACATTTTACTGCAATGCAACCTCGAATCTCATCCTAAATCAGTGACATATTGGATAAAAGGAGATGGCATGATGGTTTTGTCAAACAACAAATACAGGACAGAGGTTCAACCTATTGTATTATATAAAGTACATCTGAATTTATACATCAGCAGCTTAGAACCTGAAGACTATGGATCATACACATGCGTTGCTAAAAACTCACTTGGGGAGACCGAAGGAACCATAAGATTATATGGTAAGTATATTTTCAGAATTATTTTATAAAGGTTTAAAACTTTTTCAAAATGCACTTTGCAAATTAAGTGCAATGTATAAAAACATGAATATATAAATAAATGTTACTCATTAAATAAAGAATGAGCCAAATTTTTATGACAATGTAACTGAATGTAATACATAAAATATACATAATAAAATATATAGTAATAATAAATATAAATTCGATGCGATATTTTACATAAATTTCCATCACTGAATAAAAAACTGAAATGAAATTTTAATAACTCAAAAAGGTTAACGTATAAGAAGTAATTATATTCTGCTTTACTAAATTAAATATAAAATTTAATGTACTATATAATTAATTTAATATATATTAGTAATATTTTATATTAAATAGTAATATATTAAATAAATCATTTCATATAAAATAGAAGTATTTAAGAAAAAGTGTAAACATGACACAAATTATTTTCAATTTTAAATTAATAAACACGAGAAACTGAACTGAAAAATATACTTGATTGCATAAATTTCATTTGCTTCTAAAATCATTTTCTTATTTTTCTAAGCAAATGCTTCTATCATCAAGAGCATTTCTAATTTTATTGCATAAAATGTCAAGCGATCTTCTCTTTTCATAACAGATCGATGTGATATATTCAACCAGAAACTCATTAAACTTAAGTTAGAAAATCACAATGAAAAATTTTTTCTCAGCTGTCCTAAATATATTAAAAATGAATGAATAATTTGGCGTCACACTCCACATTAAACAGGGTGTGCAGTAAAGACCGCCTTTAATACTTATTTTTAGAATACTTATCAAACAAAAATGTACGCAATGTGTGCCAAAGAAAAGACCGACCACCTTAAATAACTTTTAATCTAATGGTTAGATCTTCACGTTTTAGGACTCTTTCTTAATGGTTCGAAGGGATTACCTCAAATATGCTAATTAATAAGATGATATTTTAAGTTACGAAGTCAGACACAAAAGCGCACTTTCTCTGAATAAACATGCTTTTTTTTTAATAGATTCGGATTTCAGACCCCTAGAATCTAAGAGGTAGCTGCAATCTGAGAAATATGGTCCCCGTAGTTTGGTCAGGGGAACGATCCAAAATTTGGACCTCATAATCTAAATTTTACTTTTTGGTGAACATTTTAAGCAAATTTACCCACAATTATAGAAATTTTTTATCCAAAGATAATACAATTTTAGTTAATATTTATTATTTCATTTAATAAAGGTCGAAAAAATTTTGAATTGTACGGTATACAATTTTTTGCATCATTTTAAAATAAATAGTTGTACATGATAAAATACAAAATTTGAGCAAAATCAGTTAAATAGTTCCTGGAAAATTGCAATTCAAAAAAACCATTATTTAAAATTCAATTTCTCAGGAACTATTCAACCGATTTTGTCCAAAATTTGTACTTTGTGATGTAAAATAATTTTCCTTCAAATGATGCTAGAATATCTATACCGCACAATTCAAAATGTTTCGACCATTATTAAGCAAAATAATAAAAAATAATAAATATTTACTGAAAGTTATTTTTTGCATGGAATAATATTTGGAAAAACGCATTTCATAAATGTGTGCAAAAATTTTTCATTTCACTTAAAAAGTTCCAGAGATATAAGAAAATACGAAAAAAATAAAGCTAACATTTAGGAGTCCAAACTTTGGCGTGGTCTCCTGACCAAACTATTGGGACCTTATTCCCTATATTGCGGCTACCCTCTGTACTTTGGGGGGTCAAAAATCTGAATCCGTCGATAAAAAGGCATGTTTATTCAGAGGAAGTGCGTTTTTACTGTTGATTTCGTAACTTTAAATATCGTCTGTACTTACTAATTAGTATATTTGAGGTCACTTCTTCGAGCCATTAAGGAAGAGTGACAGAAAGAACGCGAAGATCCAAACATTATATCAAAAGTTAGTCTGGGTGTTCCTTTTTCTTTTTTTTTTTTTTGTGCACTGTACATTGAGGTTCCCAAATTGATATCTAAGCTAGGAAAAATGAACGATCTTTTGTAATCTTACAAATTGCAGTAGAGGAGAGCTTATGAGATAAGCATCAAAACAGGTTTAATTGGTGGTAGAAATTGAAAGTGAAAATAAAAAGCTGATTATGAAGCTGACTGAGTGAAAATAAAAAGCAAATTATGTAAGCAGAAAGTAGCTAATTACACATTTAAACCTCCTTTAATTTTTTTTAATTGATTTCTGAAGCTGGTTATGAAGCTGACTGAGTGAAATTAAAGCAAATTATGTAAGCAGAAAGTAGCTAATTACACATTTCAACCTCCTTTAATTTTTTTAATTGATTTCTGAAGCTAATTATGAAGCTGACTGAGTGAAAATAAAAAGCGAATTATGTAAGCAGAACGTAGCTAATTGCACATTTCAACCTCCTTTAATTTTTTTAATTGATTTCTGAAGCTGATTATAAAGCTGACTGAATGAAAATAAAAAGCAAATTATGTAAGCAAAACGTAGCTAATTACACATTTCAACCTCCTTTAATTTTTCTAATTGATTTCTCAAAATGGCAATCATTTTAAGATAACACAGAAGTTTTATCCTATATGTAATCTTATTTATACAATATTAAATTGCTTTTGCAATAATTTATTTTTAGAAGTTCCTCCTCCTGTTCTAATTGATGATAAAGCGGAGAAAGATATTTTACTCTCAAAATCGGAGAAGTTACAAAATGGTAACGAAAAGAATTTGCTCAAAGATCGAAAAGAAAATGGTAAATTTTATTGTTTTAAATAAATTCTGATTTATTTTATACGAATCCTACGTGATCCTTTTATTAAAATGCATCTTCGTTTAGTTAGGATATTTCATTAATAGTTTATTTGATATCAATGAAAATTAATTAAAGATAAAGAATTATGTCCATAAGGGATTAAAGAAATTTCCAAAGATACAGCTTGACAGATTCCAATGTTAAACTCTATAGACTTTGAAGACTGGCTTTTAAAACTGGAAAACAATTTACTAAACAAACAAAAATCTGGTAGCTGAATTTCGTATAGTAAAAATAGTAATATTTTAAAGAATTTGTAACTATTAGTACTAAAAATTAAATATTAGTTAGGATTTTGTTTCTTCCTCCAGTAATCTTAAGTTAGTAAAGTGACAGTTCCATAGGAAATATCAAACTTATATCCCTTGCTAATATTCAATTCATTTTTTTTATATTTTAATTTTTTCGTCCTAAATATTGTTGCTAGCATCTTTATTCAAACATGTAAAATGTCACTTCTGTTTCTTGTTCCAAGATATATAGTCCGATACTTAAAACAAAACTTAAATATAAGTAAAATGTTTAGTAAATATATATATATTAAGCATATTCATTTTGATAAATGTTAAATAATGTTAATTAATAATGTATATCATCTTTTCTACTAGCCAATTTATATTTTCACAATTCAACAGAAAAAACTCAGTTCCTCAGTTTTCATCTCCTACTGTCACTTACTATAAATATAATTGATTTGTTTACAAATGCGCCCCATATTGAATCGAATGGATGTGAATTATATATTTAACTGCTTATTAATTATTTTTGCATCAAATTTAGATTAAAACAAAGAATATATTAATTTTACTTTTATAGTTAAGTTTGCTTTTTATCTTGCAATAACCCTTTATAAAAATTTTGCCCCTCCTTTTTAGATTGAAGGGATACAAATAGTGGCTTTATAAAAAAAAGTGGTATAATTTATGATGTGAAGCTACGTGTCTACTTTCTACAGTGAGCTACAATTTCATTTCGAAAAGTCCCATCTCCTCATAGTTCTAGATCCAGTCGCAGAAATCTAAATTATTATTAAATTATGGTGGAAGAGATTCCTTTAATAAACCGGGACAAATAACAAAACAACTGAAATAATTGTCCTACCACGATACGTGCTTTTGAAAAAAGAAATTTTCCTATAAATCAGCCGATAACGGGTTAAGGACTTTTAGAAAATGCATAATAAATGGTCATTTAGCTCAGATGTTCCCAAATTTTTTGGACCATGAAACCCTAAATGCTCAAATCTCACCTGGCGGAACCCTAAGAATTAAGGAATAAAATTCATTCGCGAGCCGCGATGGCTCAGGGGATTAAGAGTTTGCCTTCCAATGAGGTCAACCAGGATCGAACCCCAGCCATGGCTGTTCGAGACGAATTCCACATCCGGCGCTTGCACCGACCACAGTGCTGAGGTGAAATATCCTCAGTAGTAGACGGATCATGGGTTAGAGTCCCCTTGCCGTCAGGCTTACCGTGGGAGGTTCTCGTGGTCTTCCTCTCCATGAAACGCAAATGCAGGTTAGCTTCATCAAAAAGTCCTCCACGAGGGCAAATTTCTCCCAATACTTGATCCAGGAGTTCCCTTGTCTTCTGCATTGGATTCAAAATTACAAGGCTATGGAGTTGAACATTAGTAGTCATAAACCCAAAATTGGGTCGGTTGTTCAACGATGGTTAAAAAATAAAAATGGGAGTGAGAAAATCCACTAATGAGCTCTCAAGTTTATTTATTCATACATAAAGAGTGCCTCCTGCGCCCCCAACACAAGTTGTTACTTTTACAATTTTAAGAAAATCGATACAATATTTTAAAACAATAATCTTAAAAGTATAAACTATTGAAAAATGTAATATTTTTGTCATCTTTTTTTATTATTATTTTTTGTTCTTTGTTTAAAACGTCTTGCTATGTTGTTCTCCTTTACTTTTACTAAATGACTTTTTTGCTTTAATTTGAATTTTTATTTTTTAGATGATGATACTGTATCAAGTGGAGTAAGAATTCAACTGATTATTTCTCACCTTGTGCTAATACCATTTATTCTAATACCCTTCAAGGCTTACTTTGTATGACATTTAATGTAAATCATGTTTGTTTGCAAATTTTTGGTTTTGTATATAATGTGACATAAAGACTATTCATTTCGAAATACAAACTTTTTTTTATTGAAATTGAATTCTCTTTCTTTATGGTATAAATTTCCTAATAAAAATGTTAATACTGTATTTTGCATTTTTATTTTCATATCATTTGTTAAACTTTGAAACCGTTAAATATTAATACCATTTTTAAAAGTAAAACAAAAAAGAAAAGATGCATTTAAAAAAAACAATAACATTTTATCACAATAAGTTCATTTTAATAGTCTGAAAGGTCACGTCAGAAAATATCAGCGATTTTTATAGTTTTACATGCTGAATAAAAATTGTCGTTTCTTATCGACCAACTGTAATGAATTGAAGGTTGAAGAACAAATGTTTTAAAATTATTTTAATAGATTTGTTTTTGAGAAGAATTTTTCTAAATAGCAAGGCTAGAATTTGTGACAAGTATTCAAAATTTCATAATGAAGATGTTTATTATGGCGCATCAAATACACATTGTCAACATTTTTATTCTAAAATTACGGTAAAATAACCGTTAGTTTACGGTTACAAACTTTTCTTTCCTTTTACGGTTTTGAAACTATTTACAACTGATATGGTTATTGACCCGGTAACAGAAAACCTGCTGCACGTGAATGGGAGCTTCAGATTATTATAGAAGATTACATTTCAATTAAGCTTTCTTTTTTTTATTTTTTAAAAGAAAACAAACAAATCGGATAAAATTACTGCTCTCCCTTTTTTTAATATCTGTACATTTGCTTTTAATGAAATTTAGAAAGTTGTATTGGGTACCAAGAACAAAAAGTAAAGAATTTTTTCTGTTATTTTTCTTACAGTTACACGTTTAACTGTATAGGATTTATTCCAATTTCAATTGCCGGCATTGTGTGGGCATAAAATCAACTTAAATTAAAACAACATAACGTTTTTATGCCAAAGGACCTTGAATTTGTAAATTTGGATACATTAAGATTAGGCTGAATTAGTCGCAGACAGTTTTTTATGAAAATAATACTGCAGATTCATTAGGCAATTTCTGTTACCAGGGTCATTGCTTAAGAAGCTGCGAATACAAAATTATGCAATTTTGTAACCTTTTGCAATTAGCATAGTTTCAAAACAGTAAAAATAAAAAATTAACTGGAGTTAGGTTTTAGTTGAATTGTGTTTTATCAAATGAATTGTGAAAAGCAGCTTGATTAGTTTATAGGGTGGAGATTGTAATTGTTGTAAGAGTTGGAAAATACTAGACTTTTATGAGTTAAGCAGCTCTCTGATGTTACCATCTATACGTCAATGAGAATTTCATGTTTCAGTAGTCCAGGGTCACCAAATGTGAAATGCTTGGAAGCTTTTCATGGGTCGTGGAAATGACGAAATATTAGGATGTCAACTATGAGATTCGAGCCTTCGTTCAGACAGTCATGAGATTGACAGATTAGTCCTTCTGGCTATAGCGTACACCTAGCTGCAAGAAATTAAGTAACTCCATAAGGTGTGTCTTGCCAGCGAAGGTAAAACTCTTGTTGTTTAAACGCATCAGTTAAGAACAGTAAATAAAAAAAAATTCTCACAATTAACAGTTCGAATACCATCTTTATTATAGTTATTTGAAAGTTTTGTTTAATCTGGTAAAATAACAAGTAAATAAACTGTTATTTAATCCCTTTTCCCGTGAAAATTTAACAGTGTATGATGTAGACATCAAATCACAAATTAAAATTACTCACTCTGAAATGCATAACAATAAAACAATAATTTGAATCAAATCACAAATTAAAATTATTCACTCTGAAATGCATAACAATAAAACAATAATTTTGATAGGAAATATTAAGTAAAATATGTTCAGTTGGAACACGAAGAAATGCGAGTTGAAATTTTTTTGTTTCCGAAGTTTTCGCATATTTGCCGGAATTCTGTAAAAACTACATTGGGATGATTTTTTTCTTCTAAAATTTAATATTTACATCACAAAATCTCTGTAAAATTCATTTTTGCCTGCATAATTTAAGCACGAAAAGCGAACTTTTCAACTGTTCAACAACACTTTTGGTATTTATGGCATTTGAAAAGAAGCGGAATAGTTAAAAAGCACTTATTTATTTTCTTTTAAAAATGATATACCTTGTATTTTTAAAAGCTCCATTACGTTTTATGCACAAAAATACGAAAAACAAAGTATGGCGTCACTGCCGGTGGTAGAAAAAAAGATTTTATTGGACATTCCACGGCGTGCTCAAGCCTGTCTCGACATGCATGACGGACACTTTGAACATCTACTTTAAATTGCGCATAGTATACTGCTGTTTATATGTTCAATAAAGTGTTTTTTTGCTCCGGCAGTGACGTCATTCTTTGTTTTTCGTATTTTTCTCGTAAACTATGTATCGTGCAGGAACGCTTCTTTGGACAGTTTTTATGTACTCCCAACGAGGAATCCAGCTGTGCAGAGTTTATGCGGTCGTTTTGGGACACCCTGTATAAGGAACCTTCTCATAAATTAATCTTTGAATTCTGTCTTTACGTAATTTTTCTCATAATATCTCAGAATTCCTTGATTTAAATGATTGACAACGAATTTCCATCTAGTTACATTTATAAACAATTCAGGATGTTCTCTCATTATATTTCAGACTTTCAAAACACATCATTTGTTTAGGCTTTTCATAAATTAACTTAAATGATTAAGAAGATCACTTTTCAGACAGTTTGGAGGTGATAAATATTGCATTTTGACGAGTCCTATCAAATAAAACTGTAGTAAAGTTTGTAACTAATTTGACGTGACAAACATTAATCTTCGTTGTTTATGCCAATTATTTATTCTTGATAACTCAAACGTTAAAACAAAGTTGAAACTTAATTAGCATACATATTTATTCAAATTGGCTTTAACGTACGTTATATGGGTATCAGATATTTCCTTGGAATATCTCATCAATTCCCATTCAGTCCTTTTTTTGTTTCATTGTTGATTAATTACATAAATAACAAACGAAAACTCAGTAGAAATCAAAACACGTATGAAATCAAATGTGAGAAATAGAAATCATAATTTGTATGTACTCATAATTTGTATGTACTCATAAAAGAAATCATAATTTGTATGTTGCCTTGTTGTATTATCACAAGAGATTCATAAAGAAAAATATTCATCTTAATCCAAACATCGTAATACCATTTTAAAACAAAAATGCCTTATCTGTATTCTTTCAACCAAAATGTGTTTTTTCTTCTTAATTTTATTTCGTTATTTTAATATTCATTGCATATTTTCACTAAAAAAATATATTTAATTTTATATTGGGATTCTTAATTTTTTTTCTCCATAACTAAGCAAAAATGATACCTGCCCACAAAACTCAACTGTAAAAATGAGAAGAAGAAAAAATTATAAACATTCTTCAAGTTTTAATATGCTTGCTTAAAAACTATATAATTTCAGAATTTTTTGATACTTTAACAAAAAATGTAAATGACGTTATGCCTGAAGTAACAAAAGTAGAGATTTCAAAAATTTCCTTTCACCTTTAATTTTAAGAAAGGTACTACCTCGTAAAAAATTAAAATCCGCCATCTTTTTAAAACAGTTACTTTAACAGTTTGAATACTGCACAATATTAGGCGTACACCAAGAGCAATGGACGTCATCGGTTGTCATGAGAGAGTTCAGAACCCTTGTAATTGTTTCTATTGCCTACTTGCCGTGCCAGAAGGCCTGCTTAAGAAATTAGGCGAATTTAAGGCAGAGGATGCGTTTTTTGAGTGGCGCCATCTATGAACAGGAATACGACTGCTCACACATGTGTGTGTGACACACACACGCACACATGTCACAGTCCGTTTTGCAAGACGGACCTATTCATTCATTCACGCATCGTAATTCTGACCTGAATCAGAGAACGATCAATCTCCAATTCAGTCCCCCCCAGAGGTTGTTATGGGAACTTGGAGGACTTTGTGATTCCGACAGATTTAATGTGTCCCAGTCACCATTTAATACACGAGGATTTTTTGGCTGGCTGGATTCGAACTCCCATTCTCACTAACACGAGTTAAACGCCCTACCAACTAGACTATGGTGGTCCACACCACCTTTTTCTAGCGGGAGTTGCTAAAGCAAACCAGCTTACATTTCATAAATTAAAAATAAATTATTTTCCTTAGAAAATGCTTTGATTACAGAACTTTCACCCTATTTCTCAAACAAAAATAAGATAATGGTTTCATAGACTATTTGTGAAAGAACTTTAGAGCGTTTGGCTCACGAACAATACAATCTGTGGAAAAGGAAATGAATACCTTTGACTTAAAGACAGATTAGAAAGCTACAGACAATCTGAAAGACCAAATCATTATTTAAACGGTCATCCGACCTTCATCCAAATCATGCAAGAATACAGACGTTGCAACTTTTGCTAATTTTGGTATCCTGCCCCCCTCCCCAATGATATAACTATATAAGCGAGAGGGGGCTAACTGTGGACAATTTTTATAAATTTGTCGAAAAAACTCTACTATCCATAGCTTTTATCAAGAATATTTTTTATTAGACAATCCTTAAATTTAATGATCACAAAACTGCTCAAAGCTTTTACAATTCAAAAAATCATCAGCAGCATTGGCACGACAGCCCTTTGTGAGCCTGGGCCTTCCTCAGAAGTTTTTCCCATTCTGCTCTTCTCCCAGCAATTGTTTTCCAGTTCTTTACTGTTAGGATGACAAAATCTTCATCCACGCTATCTTTCCATCTCTTTTAGGGCCTTCCTCTTGGCCTTTTATTAGAGACGGGGTTGCATTAAGGACTCTTATTGCTGTTCGTTCCGGGCTCATTCTCACTACATATCCCCATCTCATTCTACTTAGTTTAATAGATTTAATGATATCATCACCATTAAAGATCTTATATCATTATATATTTCAAAATTATATCTTTTTCTCCAGTTGTTGTTATCGAGGATAGCGCCAAAGATGGTTCGTGGGACCTTCCTTTCGAAGGTTGCTAATAACTTCTCTTCACTCTTTGTTAAAGTTCATGCCTCTGAAGCATAAGTCAAAACTGACTTGATTAATACAATTTAAAAAATATCACAGCATAATTAATGGTAGGTAAA